CCCGTTTATGCAAATCTGACAGTTCAAGCGCTAGCCAATCAAACCGCGTGTATGCTGGGAGTGACATACCGCAGGTCATTTCCTCATATTCCAAAAAATGGAGGAGAAATTAATTATAGCGGTAGGGAATCACCCGGTGCTTTATGACCAGTCCCTATTTACCTACCGGGATACAAACCGGAGGAGCCAGGCATGGAGGAAGGTGGCAGAGACAGTGGTAGGTTTTCGCCTGTTTGGGGAGTTTATATCCAGTTTACTTCGGGCTTTTTTGCTTTGTATGTCGGGGGCGGGAGATTCATGTGATTGGTTGTTGGTCGCGTTGCTCGCAAAAAATCCCCAAGCTTCAGATACGCCCACCTCCAAGATTTTTTTAATGCTGCTGTGTGGACGCTCCGTTACAGAGGACAGGCAAATCTAGCTGCAGCACGACCCGTATATTTTCGCACGCCGTGTTCTCAACACATTTTTTAAACATTTTTTACATTTTCAACATCGTGGATAAATGCTTATATGCTCCCGGCAACACACTGAACGTCAACTTTGCCTCCTTATTACACTCACCCCTACTTTAGTGGGAACAATGAGTCTGCGTCTTTGATGCACACAGGAATAAACGCAGATCATCCTCTGGCTGCAGCCTTGACCGGCACTTGCTTTTGATCAAAGTCAATGCGGAAAACCCGCACTCACACAGGTAGGTGGAGGTGAAGGGAATGAGCACTTTTACAGCCTTTTTGGCGAGGTGGGGGAACTCGGTCTCCACAGACAGCCAAAAGTGTGCAAGTGTCACTTTACTCGTCTTTTTCTCGTTGTTTTTTTTCTCACGCTGCGCCTCCCCTGAAGCTCTCTGGCGCCCCCCAGGGGAGGCGCGCCTCACACTTTGAAAACCGCTGCTTTAGACAATAAGAAATAGGAAGTTACTGTAACTGTAAGGAGTAGCTCAGTTTTTTTTAAATAAACAATACTATTACTGTATTTCAATATCTCACGTCTGAAAGTTTGATTTAAAAGAAGAAGAGGCACCTAAAATGAAGATTGTTATTTCAATAAATGTAGTTGATTTTGTCTTTTTAATTGTTTAAAGTAAAGTAGATAAAACTGGTACTTAAGAGTTTTAATACAGTCTGGTTGTGGAGGAGGCACACAGGTAAGAGCACTAACTAGCTACCATCACATGTAACTAAGCTTGACTTGAATTGATTAAAAGTATAATTAAGTAACAGCAAAAAATCAATAACTAAAATAATGCAAATATTTAAATTTTGCTGGGTCCACTGTTGAATTTACCACAAAATATATATTTTATAAACCTGAAGGCATTTTATGATTTGTATGCAAGTATTATCCCAAAAACTCAATACCTTAGATTATTATTGAAAGTTTTGCTGAATAGTTTCATGTTAACTTACCTTAAGCAACGTCAAATGTGCAGACCGGGAGCAACAGACGTAGGTTAGCCGGCTAGCATCACAGAGCAGCACTGCTGAGCATGTTAGCTTAGCTTGGTAGCCTCAGCTAGCTCTGGAACTTCCAGCTCGGTGGCAGCAGGTCCCGCCTCGGCTCCGCCTCTTGAGCAGGCAGGAGTTAGACTCTGACGTCAATGTCGAGACGTTAGTGGCCGACATCCGCCTACTTTAGGGTTCTCGGCAACTCTGCAGAATCCTATGGGTGACGTCACGGACACTACGTCCATTTATATATATATAGTCTATGTTTGGTACTAGTCAGTATTATGATTTGATTACATTTTGAATAATTGCGCAGCCCTAGTTGGACGGGCGATGCTATTTTAATATAAATAAATAAACTATAAGTTGAAGATTCTAAAATAGTAATTAGAGCTGCATTTAACGATTTCTTGTGGCCACTTGAGGGCAGCAGATGAACTAAAAACAACAACTATTCATTAATAAAAGGTGTGCTCGCCTCTTTAATATCTTAGTCTACTCGTGTCTATTTTTGCTTTTTTTTATACAATGTCATTTTCCGTGCTTTTGGATGAATAAAGCATTTCTAACTCTGAAATAAATAGATATACACAGTTCATCTTTTTACTATACAGAATGTGCAGAAGTTGTATCTCTGAGGTCATTGTTCAACCTCAGGCTTAAAGACCCGTTCCATTACTACAGACTATTTTATACAATGAAGAATTGCTTAATGGCATGCAATGTCATGTTTTCTTTCTTTCAGAGAAAAAATTATTATGAGTTGACCTACTTTCCTGCAAAATCTCTGCCTGGAGGCTTTCTTGTCATTATAGTGTGAATAATAAAGTGAATTCCGGACTTATACTGCACTGAGGGAAAAAAACAACACTACAAGCAATATTCTAAGAGCAAAAACAACCACTCATAAAATAGTTCCTTTTTTCTGAGGCAAGAGCAGTCACACACCACTTTAACTGGAGGCCAGGCCATGTCTGTGTTTTCCACTGCTTAAAACGTACTTCTGGTATTAGAAAACTGCTTGGTTAATTGTGTTTGTCAGCCAGTAAGTCTTCAACTTTTGAATTAATTGTAAAGATCCCTGCGAGCTGCCTGCTGAACGGTTATGTCCCACAGAGTAATGCCTTACTTGCTTAGTTATTGCATAGGGATTTGTCAGGTTCTATTTTTCCTCAGATAAACCACATACTTGGAATTGAAAGAACTGGAGACAGTGCAAAGGCCCAGTGCAGTCTTCCCTCCTCCAGCTCCTGCAAGGGATTTAAATTGAAACACTACTAATCTAGAAAATCTATGAAAGGTTAAAGTGGCCACCTGCTGTCCTCCATGCCTTTCTGAATCATTTATGTGAAATGCAGAGTAGGAGATGCTGTCTTTAAGACTGCTCTATTCCCCTTACCGTATTAATATGCAACATTGCAAGTCTTACCATAAGAAACTAGGAAGCCCAAGGAGCTAATAACAGGTTGAAAGGATAACAAATCCAGTGCCCTGATTTTTGACCTTTTTCCTTCTTTTGCACTCTTTTTCTATTTTTTCTGGGGACAGTTAAACCACCATTGTGCTCTCCATAAATAGAAAAACGGAAAATAGAAAATGATTACATGGTGTCTTCTGTTGGATGAAAACTAATGTTTGTTGTACACAGCTGCTGTTAAATTCTTTCTGCGGATTAATAACACTGTACATAGTACATAGTACATAGTGTATATTCCCTTGATCAGAGCGTCCTCCTTAGCAACAGTCTGCTATCCTTAGCAGCGGTCTGCTCGCGAAGAAAAGCAGACCTCTGGAATGTCCATATTGACAAATCAGAATCAAGTATTCAACTAATCATGGTAAAAGCCATCTGATATTTACTGCTACAAATTCACAATTTGGTGAAGGGCCAGTTGTGTAAACGCATACATTAAATGATTACCTTGCCATTTATAATAGTACGTAAAAAAGGGAGTTTCTCTCCCACACACAGTGAAAGTTTGGCAGAGATAAGTGTCCTTTTCCTCCTTTTGCCAAGAGACCAGCTTCAGAGCAATCACCTATCAGTGTTGGCCCCCATCGCTTAGACTGACAAACAACGACGCAGCATATAGAGGACGTTATGGATTACATTTTACATTCACAATCACATTTTAACATTTCAAAGTCAAAGTGGATTTGTACGAGCCACAGTCCACAAAGAGAGGCAGATGCTCTGGCTTTAGTTGATAGCGCTGATGCCGCCCGCTAGGGGTTAGCCATGCTGAGCTAACATTAGCTAATAGAAATAAAAACAGAGAGTCTGTAGCCAATGAATAACGTGATTGGTAGTATTTTTCTCAGCCCTTGAATGCTAATGAAGTTTTGTTTATTGAGTTATTATTCATACACCCTTCAATTACCATTGGTTAGCAAGCAAGTTAACCTGTTAAGCCCGAGAGCCCCCGGTAGAGGGGGCTGCAGGTTTTTTTTTCACGAAACTGTGTCTCAGGGCTTCTTAATATTAAAAAACCTATTAATGTGTCATACCAGATTAACGGGAAGAAACTCAGCTAACTGACAATACGAACCATTTTTACCAAAACAAAATAAAAGTCTCATAAGAAGCGTCTAAATGACCCGAGCGAAAAAATGCTAACGCACTTAGCACAGAACTCAAGGTTAAAATTCCCTTATTACTTATCGCACATACAATATATCAGATTAAAGCTGAGATTTCACAGATTATATAGGTATTAGTATCATCACTGAGCGATCAGAACTCGCGACAGGGGAAGCAAACACAGATATCACAACACGTAGCATTACGGAGCAAACACGGGAGATTGTCACACCTTAGCTGTTATTCTGATCAAAAGTCGTGTTCAATGGCATTAAAACGATAAAAACGCGGCTGAAGGTTAATCCATAGGTTAATCCAATGTGTCTGTCACTTTGAAAAAATTATTGATAATCCATAATTCAATTTTTATGTAAAACTCTGAGATTTTATATTAGCTGCTAATGGTAGCCACCAGAGTGTATCGCAGCTTCCGGTTCCGGGGCATTCTGGCTGCGCAGCACTCATTCACCAATGGGTACACAGATGTAACCTTGCTTTGAGAAAAAAGATTATTCATTTACCCCTTTTAGAAGTGAAGATATGGTCATTTGTTCTGGGAATGTCATTTTCAAGTCTGAGACCTGAAAAACAGGCTCAGGGCTAAACAGGCTAAGTAGATTGAGGGTTTAATATTTGAAGCCTCATACACAAGGCATTCTGGTACATGTAGGCACTGCAAGACTGAGTATGAAGGTAATTTGGCGATATGAACTTCAATGACAATCTCAATGGACTCCAGCATTGACTGGAAATACATTTTTGTGAATATAGCATACTGAAAGTCATGTCTATAGTTCCTGCTACAGTGTGATTTTCAAAATGTAAATGCAATTGTTGTTATGTTTGATTAGCATACAGAATATAAAGATTCAAGGATTGTCTGTTAAAAAGAACTAGGCACTGATTGTGAAATAAATCGGAGCAAAAACCCATCCACATAATACATGCAATATCAAATAGATCTTTCTCACTGTGTTGTTTCCGTTTCCATTTAAATGTAAGCCGCTGTCAAAGAGTGGAGAGGATACTCGGCTGTGATCTGTGGACGGCCCAGGGGAACCTGAAAAAGAAAGGAAGATCGTTCATGTTCTTTACAAAAAGGCTTCTGAAAAATATATTTCATGCATTTAACCCAATTTCATGTTGTGTCTTTTCTTCAGAAACTAAAAAACAAAAAAAATGGAAAAGACCATTGCCAAAGTTAAGATATTGACTTTATTCCAGGCCCTGCCTTTGAGTCATACAGTGCGTCTCAGACAGCATCCAAAAGAGACAAATTCTGCTCTTTGATATGATATTAGCTTGGCGTGAGAGGACCTTCTTTCTGATTCAGGCCCACTCAGTGAAGCTTGGCAGACTGCTCCTGGCCTTTTCCTGCTTGTCATTTGTGCCATGGTGAAACAAAGGGGCGCTTAGAGAATAAGGATTTGGAACTTTTTTTCCTCAGGCGAAAAAATGTGCCTCAGTGGCCCAACACCGCACAGCTAAACCTGAGCTTAGCTGCACTGAGACCGTCCTCTGAATGTTACCTTTTTCGAAACATGTAAAGGCTGAATTTCTCACGGCTCTGTTTGAATTTATGAGAATGCGGTGGCTAGGTTTTAAATATTCATGCAGGCCTATTAGTATTAATCATTTTTCTAAATCTGTTTGCTTTTCCTAATTAGGTAAATTGCCAGAAAATACCATTTTGTTTTCTGGGAGACACAAAACAAAATGTATAAAATGTTATTCAATCACCTTTTTGCTTACAGCTAATTCATAAAACAACAATTATTAGTGGTTATGTAAGTTTGTATCTAACAGCGTGTGTGAATGAATAAAGATCCAGATTTAAAGATCCGTTGAGCTACATGATGCTCCAACACTTTTTGCTTGGCTAGGTTAACTTTAGACGTTTAAAAGATTGTTATATATTTTGTGTAATACAGTTATAATATTTTTATTTTTGGTGAAACTGAGATGAGAAGATTGACAACTGTATCTGTTTAGTAAGAAGCTGAAGAAATAGCTAGGCTAGTTGATTACTTGAAGGACACAGCAAGCAAGCTCTGCCAAAGATACAAAAAATATACCTATCCCACCGCTAAATCTCACAAAGTAACATGTTCTATTATATTAATCTGTCCAAAACCAAAGTGTAAAAATGACAAATGTAACTTTGGGCAGCCATGGTAACTGTTTCCCCCACTTCAGTCCTTGTAGTAAGTCAAGATAACAGCCTAGCGATAGCTTTGTATTTAGCATACAGTTAGCTTTCAGTAAGAGAACAACCACACAAACTCTTCTTGTAAAATTTAGTATATACATTCTGAGGAAGTAATGTCTCCAAATTTACAAAAAAACAACAATGTTAGGCTACTTTCTAGTATTTTTACAAGGTTTCAAATAAATCATCGAGTATTCTTCACTCAGAGTTGCGTACCTGATTTATCACTTTTTACAGGTTCCACATGGAGGATTTTAGTGCCTGTTTTCATCTGTATAAGCTGCTGAAGGTAAATACAGGAGCAGAAGATTGCAGCTCTGGGTGTTTCTGACTTTACTGCATGCCTCTGGCCATGGAGCATGACGATTTATAACTTTGAAATAAATGCTCATCTATTGAACAGCGTCAAGGTGCGCAAAAAAAGACAATCTCCCAGGAATGTGTTTTATTCCTTTATGGCTAAACATTCTCAATGAAATGAAGTTTATTGGGAGATTGCATGACATCAAACACTGCAGGACTCTTACCTAGAGGCAGTTTAAGAAATGATGGAACTTCTCGCAGGTAGCGAACAGTAATGGTGACCTCATCTCCTGCAGTGCGCAAGAGGTGAACCTGACAGGAGCGGGAGGCGGAGAGAGAGATTGAGATTAAGATAGATAGAACGTTAGAAAGAACGATTGTGAGTGATGCAGCGAGATAACAATTGAATCTCATACACTCATGTCAAGATGTACACAGCCTGTACACAGCCTGAACAAACAAAATATAACAGGGAATGAGGAGGTAAAGTGTGCGAAAGTGGCTTCACTCCAGCAAAGATAGAATTTGAAGGCTGACGTTTCTCTAGTGACAGGCGGCAGCAACCAGATGACATCGAAAAGTAATTACTGAATATCTGATGTCTGAGGGATATCAACTACGTCTTCAATAGGTGTCTAGTCAATTCAAGGAAGGTGAAGTTTAAAGGACAATCTATTAAATATGTCTATCTTCTGTGCATCTTGGAAAAAAAGAGAAAATAAAACAGTAAATAAGACACTTGACTGTCACATGAAAAACGCAAGGTCACGTCTACACTCCACTAAATGCATGTCTGCTATCAAATCCCTCACTTTAGCTTGGCTTTTGCCTGAACATTTGTCAGTGCTGCAAAGTGTGACAGCCTGCCATTAAAAGCTCTGGATTTTGTTCTGAAGAGAGACTGCTCATTATGCATTTTGACGCTCGGGAGGTAAGTAGAGTGAACAGCTGTTTGGGGCTGCACAAGGAGACAGGGACGACAGACATGGGATGAGTGTGTGCTTGTGTGTGGGGATAGTTGCAGAGAATAAAGGAATTATTTAACAAAGGGAGAAGATTTATTGAGAGCCACTGGGATTTGGTGTTAAACCTGGAAGAAAGATGGAAAAGCAATGGAAGGATGGATGGAAATATTATACAACAGTTAATCGCAAATATACTCACAACTTCTTCATGGGTACAAGGCTCGACATTTATACCGTTGACCTAAAGAAACCGACAGAAACAGTGGAAAAGCACATAAGTAATTATACAGGGTAGAAAGTGTGTAATTTATCAAACCTACTTGCCTATTTGCTGCAGGGAAACTGCCAGGGGGATGGCTAAGGGTGGAATATAATTGACAACCCTTGGTACCCAGCTTACAAGAGTCAGCAGGTGATACATAGGTGGACAGTAGGGCTGTAACTGTTTGTGTATTCGTACTGAATTGTTATTGTACAGACCTGTAGCACTTTTGGGAAAGTGTATGTTCAGTGTTCCTACCGAGTAATACAGAAATGTTCCTTATTAAAAATGAAAATGGTAAAAGTTGGCAGTGGGCGAAATGCTACCTCATTCGCCAGCAGAAGGATTGTTTGTCGGTCTTTCACAATTGCACTACTGTATGCTTAAAATAAATTAAAATCAGTTCCCAACACCAAGAGGTACATAACAAAAACAAACAAAAAGGAAACACAAAATGATCACAAAGAACTGCAAAGTCACAAAAAGATGCAAAACTACCACAAAATGATGCCAAACAACTACAATGAGATGAAAAAAGGACGACAAAGAAAATACGAAACAAAAGATACAAAAAATAACAAGTGTCTTAGAATGACGACAACAAGATACAAAACGACAACAAGGAGATGCTAAACGACCATCAAAAGATTACAAAAAATACGAGATGCTTAAATGCACACAGAGAAACACACAACCACAAGGCAACAAACAACAACGACAAAGAAAATACAAAAAAATCGCAAAGAGATACAATATACCCAGAAAGTTTGAAAAAAAAGGGCTTTATGGAGATGAAAGATGACCAAAAAGAGAACCAAAAGATGAAAAACGATCACAACAGAGAAACAAAACATTCACAGAGATACAAAGTAACCACAAACTAAAATGACTACCAAAGGTGGAAAACGACCAACAAAAGATTAAAAAAACACAACTATGATATGCCAAATCTCCACGAAAAATTACTTACCACAAAGCAACACAAAATAACCAGAATACAATTCAAACCATCCCAGAGAGATACAATATAACCAAAGCATTTTTTAGAACAACCGCTTTTAGTAAACAAAAGGACCAAATAGAGAAAAAAAATAGATTAAATATGACAAAGACAAAAAAAACAAAGGCAAAACAACCACAAGGGATGAAAAACTACAAATAGAAGGAAAACAATCACAGAAGTTCAAAATAACCAGAACATTTTCTAAATCAAACCACAAAAAGATGCAAAACCACAACAGGGAGAGGAAAACTACCAAAAGAAATACCAAACCATCACAAAGAGATACAAAATAACCCCAAAGCGTCTCAAAGAGCAACCATACAATCACAGAGATAAACAATAATCATGAAGTGTTTTAAAACGACGACATTGAGATCATAACTACCACAAGGAGAAATATAAATCCTCAAAGGGATGCAAAGGGACCATCAATATACGCAAAACAACTACGATAGCCAAAATGACCCCAAAGAGAATTGTTTTTACCACAAAAGGTCTTAAAATGACCATCAAGTAAACAAGAACAAACTCGCAAGATGACCACACCTGAGAGAATTATTATGTAAAGACCTATTGTCTCATAATCTTCCATGGCTGAGGGCTATAGCAGCTACATATGAATAATATTTCATATTAGATTAGAGGGCTTTTTAAACCCATCCTATGGCTTTTAGTATGCAAATAGATGCAATATTCTGCTGTGTGAAAATTCAATGTCATTGCAAATAAATATGAAACAGTGTTGATCCAAAAGGAAGGAGCACTAGCAATCCAACTCATAATTTAATGCATAATAACTCCCAGTTTGAGTGGTAATTTTGCCTAGCTGTCCAATGAATCATCTTGATATTCAGGATAAACAGCACACTCAATAAACCTGCCAGACAGATTCAAATGAACTTTCAAAAGATTCAATTAATATCTCGACTTCTGGGTTTCCATGATTATTCTGATGAACAGAAGCTATCATGCATTCGTGACCTTATGATTATTCTGTGACGGAAACTGACAACGGGGTGTTCGTTTGGGAAATTGATTTGATTAAAAAATATATATATTTGACCACGATATTATCTGCTCAAAGAGACAATTAAATAGTCATTTGATTAAAATCAGGCAGTTCAAAGTTCAAAATATTCTCTTTTAATTTTCTAAATGAAATAACTGTCAAAACATAAGCGGGTTGAATCTAAAATGTGACACTCTTGGCAGTGACCCGAATCGACCTTGAAGGGAATAAGCCTGTACCAACCTGCAACACAGCGTCCCCGACGAACAGCTTCCCCGTCTGATCGGCTGCGTAGAGTTGTCAAGTGTCAGAGGTTAATGAAAACATTAGACAATAACTGCTCATTTCATACACGTGGAGGAAATAGCAATCAGCAAGTCTGTTTGACAAATCTCTGGCTACAGCTTAGAAAAGAACACAGGGCAGCATGAAATCTGAAACTAATCATGATATACACTCATTTGCTGCTGGGCGGGAGGAATACAATGATAACTCTGTTGCGAAAAGATTTAGAAGGTTCTGTTAAAAGGGTCCCGGGGGATAGGAAGACACGATTCCCTCGTATCCAATCAGTATTAAGAGGGATGTGGGCCAATGCGCAAATTACAGGGAAATGATTCACTCATGACGCTCTGATATTGCATCCTAACAGGATAGTGAAAGGTCATCAATTCTTACAATTTAACTGACAAACATGATTTAAGTGTTTTCTCCTTTAGCCAGCTAATAGCATGGACACATTGCCAACTTCCTCTCAGTCTTTCTTTTCTATGACTTTTCTTATTAGGCAAGCTAAATTACCTCTGTGTAAAGAGAGTATCCTTTATTATTATTTGTCTCCAGTAAAAGTAGATGTACATAGACAGTCCAATTAATACAACTGGTTTCAAACCAATAGGTAAACAATTTTGGCTTTTTTTCGGAAAATGTAAAAAGAAGGTAAAATCTCATGTCATGGATTCCGAACGTGTTTAGCCTAGCTTAGCATAAAGACAGGAAACAGGAAACACCCTTGAAGATTACTCAGTTACACAAGAAATCTCTTTAACTAACAAATCGAGGTTGTGGGGTCAATCGTATCCAAAGATGACAAAAAGCACATTTTTTACAATTCCATTTCATGAAATGATGGAGCCATCCAAAATATCTCTTCATTATTGAATATTTCAATATATTCATATACATGAGACACTGTCAGACAATGTGAAGTATGTTCATATTTACACTAGGGCTGTCCCGAATACCATTTTTCAGGCTCCGGATATTCAGTAGTAATCAGCAGCGAACCACTTCAACACGTGTATTTCGGTTTATTCACGGCATTCATTTTGTTATTCTACAGTATTGTTGTTTTATAGTTATTTGTTAATGTTTATAACCCAATTTGTGTTCTTTGAAATTGAAAAGGATGTTGCATTGGGTTTGTTACTTTCAAAAACGAATATCCGAATAACGAAATTGAAACCCGAATAGTACTCCAACGAACGAATATTCGGGTACAGCCCTAATTTACACACACTCAAATCCACTTAAAAGCCGAATAAAAGGGGAATAGTTTTGAACACATATTTTAACCATAACAATGCCTCAAGACGAGTTACGTGCTGGAGCTATTTATTGACGAACAACTGCTGCGGGCAGTGACTGTTTGCAGCTTCCTGATGTCAATAAGCTTTACATTTCTTATATGTATGGTTTGTGGGTTAAACAGAGTTTTATAAGGCATATTTTAAAAGCCATGCAAACCATATCCCAAGTTTCCAGTCTTTATGCTAAGCTAGGCTAATCACCCCCAGACTCCAGCTCCATATGAAGGTAGTATAATGTGGCACAGATTTTACAAATGGAGAATAAATCTACTTGTGATGAGCTGTTGTATAATTTCTTCTGTAGCTCTGGAGGGAGCATTCCAACGTCTTAGAAAATAACTTTACAATAATTCTGAATTTAAATCACACCTGTAAAATATCCAGTGGCTATTTCATTCATTTCGATAAATTTACCCCAGCATTAAAAAAACATTTTCTAATCCACATTGCAAGAGGAAGTGAAATGATTCTTACCTACTTGATCTTTAAAAATCTTTGAAATAACCACAGGGACGTTGTGCTCTGCACCCCCCTGAAAAGCACGAAAGAAAGAAGAGTTGTTGCGTTTCAGAGGTGAGATTTGCTGCAAAAAATGCTTTCTACAACCAAAAGCCCTTTTTCATTTCCACTTTAATCTCTCCATAATGGAACTTTTGCTTACTTTGATGCTTAAGCCCAGACCGCCAGCCGCCTGTCTTCGCAGTAAAACAGTTCTGTGCTTTAGAAAGTGGGAGTTTCTTATTGGCAATAGGATATTGTGAACATTTATTGAAACAGTATTCTGGAGTTATGCGGCATGAATTACAATGCATTTCTTGAGCCCTGGGGCGCACTTACATTTACTTGGGATTCACTTCCATTTGTGCAAACCACGTCCAGCTTCTGTATGGTTAACGCCTCTTTGGTCAATTTCAGGCAGACATCATAGGTATTGTTGGTCTCCTCATTGTACAGCAAAGCAATTCCAGATTTTGTCTGTTGGAATTGAGAAGAGCATTGACATTCTGCCAAGCGGAGCAATTATGTACACAATGAACATTTTAATCCTCTTTTCCGAACGTGTCATTTGTGTACCCTCATTCTAATGGTCGAGATTTGGGTTAATTGGTTTTACTTGACATTGTGAAAGCTTGAACCTTGGTGTAATAGAAAATATGAATTGCATGCTTTGACTTTTATATCTGTAACTAATCAAAAAGGATCTGCAAAAGTTCAGGATACTACATTTGACACTTTAAGGAAGGATATGACAAAAGCAAATAAAAGATCCTTTGCACTAGGAATATTTCTGTGTACCTGTGACCATAACACAATGTAGTTTAAATGTCACCCTCAAATTTCATGCATTATTCTCATTGCTTTATCACCATCTGCAAACCTCTAAAAATACAGCAACCACACCCTTTAACTGCTCTAATAAATTAGAACAAATAAACTGATCTTTTTTTGTCTTGAGAACACGTGATTGTTGGGTTTGTTCAAGTCTTCTGTTCTTTTGTCCCTAACGTTCCGTTTGTCTGACCTATCCAACACCCTATTTAAGTCATTGTCCAAATGTGTTTTTCTGAAAAACCTTTAGAACTGGATTTCTTTTTAATACCATGGTTTTGGAGAAAATGATGGCATTGAAGATTCAAATCAGGGTGTTTCGAAAAGGCCTGCTAATGTTTTGAGTCCAACACTTTAATGAATACGGTGTAGCACTTCAAAGGATTATTTTCGATTTTCAGGTTGTATGAAGTTCTTATGTAACCGTGTATCAGTGTATTGAAGCCAAGCGATGTACTGCTGATGGGGGCATCAGCAAAACGTATTTTAGCCACTCAAAATCAATGTGTTTAAGAGCGCTATATTTAGAATATTTTTAGAACTGTTTTGACTTGTCAATAGACAGCCCTTATCTAGGCTTTGCCAAAGCCACTAGACTTCCTTGACAGGAACATTTTTTATTTATTTTTTCTCAAAACACAAAGGACTGTACTGCTCTTCTTAGTTCTGATGTTTTGAAGGACTAACTGATCAAAAACAGCAGTAATCCAGAAACGTATGTGTTCTGTGGGGTAAAATTAAAGAATCTGGTGGCTTTCAAGAAAGAATAGACTGATGTACAACTTTCAGAAAAGGCTTTCACACAACAGCATACTGTAAATTAGGGAAAATGTTGTAAAAAAATGTTTGGGTGGCTATACATTTGGTTGCTTCCTCCATCAGCTGGTACTCCTGTCTGTTTCTACAAATTGAGGTGGTGTCTATCGCAATCTGCAGTAGAAAACCTTTAAGGTTAACTTGACAAAGTTTGTTTTTGTACTTCCACTGGGAGGAGCAAAAGCCTGAAGATGGACCACCAATTGGTGGTTCCTTCTAGCAATACATTTTCACTTCTATGTACACTTCTTTACTACCTTACACTCTTAGGTGGCAGCGTGTGGTCTTAAGCATACACAGGGTGCAGTCAGTCTTTGGCAGTTTATATTTTAGGAAACCTTGCGGTAACATGTAACCCTGGTCTGTCCATATCGCAATTTACCATATCTCTCGAGGCAAGGCCATGTCTGAAGTTCAGTTGGTTCACCACGTCCATATGGAGCTATTGGATTTAAAACTATGATATTTGTCAAAACTAATGACATTCTATCAGCCTAATCTTTGTGGTGGTTTTGTTGCCATTATGCATTGTGAAGTATGCTAGCACGCTTACTTAAATGGTGAACATTATTAACATCGTATTTTCTGAAAATTAACACCATTAGACTATCTCCAGCAGTACAGTAACGCACTCAAAGCAGCCCGGTCTAATTACTACTCGCAACTAATTCAGTCTGGCTCCAGCAACCCCAAGTGTCTGTTCTCCACCATCAGCAAACTTCTCAAACCCTGTGACAACGCCACCTCATCCTTCACCACCGAACAGTGCAACTCCTTCCTCTCGTTTTTCCAAACCAAAATCAGCAACATTTACAGCAATCTGACACCCTCATCAGCACCCCCCACCTCCCCTCCTGGCTCCCCCCCTTCACCTCACAGCCCCTGTCCCACTTCTCCCTTGTGACCCCCATGCAGCTGTCCGACTTCATGACTGGAATTAACTCCACCTGCACACTTGACCCAATGCCCTCCAAATTTGTTAAAGAGAGCCTCCCTGCCATCTCCCAACTCATCGCCACCATCATTAACTCCTCCCTCAGATCTGGATCAGTTCCCCCCTCTCTCAAACTGGCTGCTGTCACACCCATTCTCAAAAGACCTGGACTCACACCTGACATCATGTCCAACTTCCGGCCCATCTCAAATCTCCCCTTTCTGTCAAAAATACTTGAACGTGTCATTGCCTCACAACTGAAATCCCACCTCAGCTCCAATGACCTCTTTGAGCCATTTCAATCCGGTTTCCGATCAAAACACAGCACCGAAACAGCTCTTCTGAAAATCACAAACGACCTCCTCCTCTCCTCTGACTCCGGCAACCTGAACATCCTCATCCTCACCGCAGCATTCGACACCATCAACCACACCATCCTGCTGTCCCTCCTCGAATCATCACTCAACATCACCGACACTGCACTCTACTGGCTGAAATCCTACCTCACCGACAGACATCAGTTTATCAACATCAACAACTGCACCTCGTCCACTGCTCCTCTGTCCCAAGGCATCCCCCAGGGTTCGGTGCTTGGCCCCCTCTTCATCCTCTACATACTCCCCCTTGGCAAAATAATTTGTCACCACAACCTTCAATTTCACTGCTACGCCGATGACATCCAACTTTATATCTCAACAAAAACCATCACCCCCACAACACACTCCACTCTCACCAACTGTCTCTTAGAAATAAAAGCATGGATGCAAACAAACTATCTCCAACTGAACAGTGCCAAATCAGACATCATCATCGGCCCCCCATCCCGTACCAAAGCCATCCAGAATTTCAACTTCACCATTGACAGCCACACTATCTCCCCCCCTCATATCCGCAACCTCGGAGTCATCTTCGACAGTCAGCTCAAATTCAATCACCACATCAATCACATCACCAGGACCGCCTTTTTCCACCTCAAAAAAATTGCCCGTCTCCGCCCATCACTCTCCTCCTCTGCTGCTGAAACCCTGATTCATGCATTCATCACATCACGACTACTGCAATAGCATCCTCTACGGCAGCGGTTTTCAAAGTGTGAGGCGCGCCTCCCCTGGGGGGCGCCAGAGAGCTTCAGGGGAGGCGCAGCGTGAGAAAAAAAAGAACGAGAAAAAGATGAATAAAGTGACACTTGCCCACTTTTGGCTGTCTGTGGAGACAGAGTTCCCCCACCTCGCCAAAAAGGCTGTAAAAGTGCTCATTCCCTTCACCTCCACCTACCTGTGTGAGTGGGGGTTTTCCGCATTGACTTTGATCAAAAGCAAGTACCGGTCAAGGCTGCAGCCAGAGGATGATCTGCGTTTATTCCTGCGAGCATCAAAGACGCAGACTTATTGTTCCCACTAAAGTAGGGGTGAGTGTAATAAGGAGGCAAAGTTGACGTTCAGTGTGTTGCCGGGAGCATATAAGCATTTATCCACGATGTTGAAAATGTTAAAAGAAAATATGTGTTGAGAACACGGCGTGCGAAAATATAGGGGTCGTGCTGCAGCTAGATTTGCCTGTCCTCTGTAAGAAGGTGTCGGCGACTGACATGCAAGGAAGAACGGCTGTCCACAGGCTGTTCCAACTTTAACAACTTTATTAACTTCCAGTAGTGAATTGAACATGCAATTGTAATTGGGTGTGTGGTATATTTTCATGCACGCACATGCATGTTCCACAACACACAAACTGAACAACACTCAATTGTCCGATCGCTACCAGTGTCCTTGCGATCTTGTTATAACAACAAAGTGCACGTTACTGATGCAATATGTTTGAGACCATTCGGGCTTATTCTAGAGGGGTGCAAGGAATAGTCCAAGTAGTGGGGGAGTTTTATAAAATATGTTTAAAACATAAAGATACAAAGGTTTAAAAAAGTTATTGTTTAATGTTTTAAGGAGGTGACGCTACTCAGCCAATCAAATCGGTGCAGTCAGTGAGTCAGCACGATAGATTCAAACACACACACTGAGACGAGACAAGAGGAGAGAAACAGTCGGAGTAATTTCAAATGGCGTAAGTTAGACAGCGAAAACAGAGCATTTAATGACATTTTCTCTTACTGGACTTCTTTGAAATGCAATTGAATACTCCTGCATTATAGCAACAACAACAACAATAATAATAATAATAATAATAATAATAATAATAATAATAGCAATAATAATTGGGAGGGGGGGCGCGGCTGTTCTTATGTTCTCTGAGGGGAGGCTCACCTTCCCACACTTTGAAAACCCCTGCTCTACGGCATACCATCCAACCTCCTCAATAAACTCCAACATATCCAGAACTCTGCTGCCCGCCTCCTCCGACATAAAGGACAACAGCTCATGTTTAATGGAAAACAATTGCCAATTGGACTGACGTGACTTTTAATAACAGAATTGGTTTAATATAGTGGAGTGGACATATTAAAAAGGAGCACAAACATAATGCAGTCCAATAGTCCACCACAAGCAAAAGTCTCTCTGCATGGCTTTGCTGTGTAAACTAAAACACAAGAAGGAGAGTCGAGCTATTTGGTGCCTTAAAGCTACAGTACCGACTTTTGCCACTAGGGGGTGCCGATACACTATGGTGTCAGAACACTCCCCGCTTGGTAAACGTTTTTACCACTATTTACATCTCTTTACCTTTGGTATCAGTAACACCACATCGCTGATAGGCTTAAGGTACTCTTTAGCTGTCCCTTGACCAGCGTTTCCGCCAGGGGGGCGTCTTTCCGTCATTTGACAAAAAAATGAATAATTCGAGAGAAGATCGAGAGTTTTTATCGCTTGAAATAACGAAAAGGAAAAAGGACAAGGACATCCCTCTGTTGGAGGGGCAAAGGAGTCTGGTGGGATTCTTTTCGGAGTATTGCTGATCGTTTCCCCGACATCCGGTGCCAACACGGAACGTGCACGATTTGGACGCGATAAGCGGGGGGGTGCTAGTGGAGCAAGCGTGTGAACTGCGC